TTCCTGAAGTTATCTGCAGCAGTCAATCGATCGCCACGAACCAGTCGTTTTGTTGCCGAATCGGCTGATCTCAGCAGACTCATTTTCTTTTCTCTCACTTCCCACTTTAGAAATGATTCTCTTCCTGCGCGAAAATGCTGGTTACTGGGACGCACAAACACTTGACACAGCAACTCGAGCGTAGATACCTGTTATTGATTCAATAAACCTTGGTTATTGCAGCAGTAACTCAATTATTTATTGGTCTTCTAGCTAAAGCATCATAACGTATTGCCAACATACAAGCTAGCTTCGCGATAATTTATCGTGAAGATGCTACTACGATAAATAACAATATCATTTTCGGACCCCCTGCGGCAGGTCACCTACTTAGGGTCTTAGTCAAAGTTGCCGGCCACGACGCTCCCAACGAAACACCGATCCAATCCACTTATTCTCCTGCAACGTCAGCATCTCAGACCTACATGCACGATCCAACTGCTACAGCGACACACGCAGCTGTGACCTACAAGCCCGAGACTACGGCTCAGCGACAATCTCGCTCCACCAGAGGCGTGCGCCCCGAGACGAGAGCCCCAGCGACGCACCCGCCTGACACAGAGACGCCAGACGCACACGCGTCGAAGACGGCAGCTCCAGCGACGTACCCGCCTGACAGAGAGAAATCAGAGGCGTGCGCGCCGGAGACGACAGTTCCTGCGACAGTTCCGCCTGATACTCCGACACGAGGGACGGCAGCCCCAGCGAGGAACATTCTGGCACGGCGACACCGAAGAAGGTGGTACCAGCGACGTACGTAATAAAGACGAAGACACCATAGACATACCCGTCGAAGACAACAACTTCAAGGCTCGTAAGAGCATATTTACTACTACTCCAGCGGCATAGTACAAGGAAACTAGTACACAGTGATGGTGTAATTGCCTACGTTGGTACTAACGTAGCTCTGCTAATAGCTATGCATCACCATCCGCGCTAGACTTCCGTTTCTCTTGACGCTTTTTCAAGAACGGATGCTGGGCTAAATCGCCGACGTCCGGCTCAAGTTGCCGTCTACTGTATAGACCTTCCTACGCAAGCAGAAGAGATAGTACTTCTGCCAGTACGTTCAAGTTGCTTGCTGACACAGATGCGGTCTCGTGGAGTCAATGGAATATGCACGTTTACACAGCGACACCATGCATTTCGCAATAATCCGTTTTTTAGTAGCATTTCTGCATTCAAAATTGTAAACTGTGCATTTGCGCTTTGACCGACTTCGCCCCTGTAGCACCACCCAAGCCTCTTTCGTCTGTAGCGTGCCCACAGGCGTTACGATCCCAGTAGTATTCAAAGACCGTCGGCCTTGGTGCTGCTGCTGCGTTGGCTGTGTATACCATACCTTGAAACGAAGGCCCGTCGGCTAGCGAAAATCGCCCACGCAGCTGATCATGTCGGTCGACGCCTTGCATAGCAGAATTGTATTCGTGAACACAAGTCGGGACAGTGAACGCCGCATCGGCATTTGAGACGACATTAACGATTGAGCCATCGACCCAACTGGCAGCCACAATATGCTTTGATAGGCAAACGCCTTGCTTGATAAAGCCACGGGATTTTCCATCTTTCTTTCGGATCATCGTGAAATGAGGAAATGTTTTGCTAGATTAGCGTTCGGTGCCACGCCCATAAAGACCTATTGATCTTAGACTCAAACACGACGTGTAAAAAAATGTCAGTGTTAATTATCGAGGAATTACCTTGACTCAGTGAAAAGCACTGAGATGTGGTGCAACGCTAGTAGCACTGAGTCAGTGTTTGTACATTAATATTAGAATATAGAAAAAGAAAATATTCGTATGAATTGGACAAGTCATACATTACTACGTTCTTAATGAAAAAGTATTTCACTTTCAAAAACTAGTCACTTTTCCTTTTTCATTCTGCTTCAATGACCCCTGTCCTCCGGCACCCGTCCAAGAAGAAGCTCGGTCGCCCCAAAGGGCGAAAGACGAAGAAGTGTTGGCGTTGTCACATTACCCTCAGCACACCGTACAAGCTGATCCAACACTTGAAGAGAAAGACAGGGTGCGGTCCAAAAGCCGTTGCCCGTCAAGCTGAAAAACGCAGAGCGGCTAGCCGCTTTTCAACGAACGTCCACTCCGTCAAAAAAGAGCTGGACAAGGTGGGGTGGTACGAGTTAAATGAGGAAGACTTCGAGGTAGACAACGGGGAAACTAAAACCAACGGCGAGGACGAAACTATGGAAGGTGGGGGGAATGGACATCGTTATGTATGGGAAGCGAATTCCAACAACCTCAGGCGCGCCAAGGATCTAGCTACGGTGGATTGGGAGGCAATTATTGACCTCCGCTAGACTATTTCGGCTTGTATTAGTAGTTTTATGATAGTAGTAATCTTATATCATAATATTATTAGTAATCATCATAGCAGCTATTACTACATGATGCAGGTGTACTATTTTCCAAATAATGATCAGCTCGAACAGTCCAAAAAGCAGTCAGTAAATGGCTGACAAAAACCTGCTCAAATAGGGTTAATGATAAAAAACCAAACTACTTAGGAAATTTAAATAAAATTATTGGTTTCTAACGAAAAAACACAGCAACTTGTCATTCGCGGCATCGTAGCCTCTATATTTTCTGTAACATATAAAAATGTTGTAGCATATAATGTGATAACCAAACGTGTATAAGTGAAGCCGGTATTATGCATTGCTTAAGTTTGTTTGTGTCTTTTGTCGCCACTGGCAACCTCAAACCCGTCACTAATCTCCATGTTTTGACTTTCGACGCTTGTGCAGGGCCTGGTTTAAAGCCGCTTTTTCCCATTTGAGGAGGGTCCGATTGACGTACCGGGACTTTCAGCGAAGTGTCTTCTTGTAGTGTGACGTCTGTTGGCCACGGTCGAAACGGAGTCATGTACGTATCTCGAAAATTGTCGATAGAAAGCCGCTTGGCGTCGCAAAGTGTCTCCAGACGCTGACCTTCAGTGACTGCTGCTGGTATGGCGTGTACACAAGGAAATTCATTATCCTGCCAGTTACCGCATGTACACTCTGAGTCTGGTAGATTGACCATACGCTATAGGTGCACCCAACCCGGTTGCTTAGAGGAACCGACGAGCAGCACGTTATAAGCACCTTTCATACACGGTGTAACTTTTCATTGTCCGCCAAAAATTGCCAGCTTCTTGCGCTCAACTGACAGCGTGGGGACGAGTTGAGAGCCAGGAGCCTTCGTCAGCCAGTTTGCAGCCATTTGTCGTCGGTCAGAAACAAGCTCACTTAAATTTCTAAAATAAATCCCAAAGGCCTCCAAGGGTTTAGCACTTCGACATTCGTCACCAATCCAGGTCGTTTCGTTGTATGTTGGGAGTTTGAAATGTTCCTGAAAGGCGTATTTAACCCAATGTTTCTTGTCTATTCCCCGCAGATACTCGACAGCTCCCGGTTTAGTGCTAGCGAGCTACTTTTCCGATATAAGGGTGAATCGGACAATATCAATCAGTGCTTGTTTCATAGCTTGAAGGAACCACAGCCAATTGTCGATATTCTCTACTAAAACAATGGAGAATCCAAAGGGTACGATGTGATTGTCGTAGTCTTTTGCTGTAGCCACCAAAAAATCCCCGTAATTATTCATTTCACCCTTGAGATGAGCACCGTCAACACCATAGAGACGCCTTCCCATTGTAACCACTCGGATACCAATGTTCGGCAAAAAGCACGCCCGCTTGAAGGTCCCGTCAGCTTCTTTCTCGAACTTGTAAAAAGAACCTGGGTTTTTCTCGGTCATCAACTTTAGGTAGCTCTCCAGCTTTTGGTAGCTACTCAAGCGACCCACCTCGTTGTTTGCCTCGATGCCTTGTTTAACGCGGGAAATAGATGTCGGTCCCAAAGTGAAGCCCTTTCCCTTTAGAAACTCGGCGATCGACGTCCCCTTTACTCGGGCAAGTTTCCCTTCATAATGTGGCAGCATCTCGGTTTCAACCAATCTCGCAAGTTCTTCAACATTTTGTGTGGTGTTTCTCTTGTCCTTAACAAGAAGAGGTACAGACCCCTCAGCAACAGGCCGACTGGAAAATCCTACGTGCTTCACGTGGTCATGGCAAAAGTTTGCTTAGGTCACCTTCCAGAATCCTTCCACTCCACTCACGTTAAAGAAAAAGGGGCAATAAATTGTTTCCTCTGGTGCATCCTGGTTAAGTTTTTTGCACACGTATTTGGCGTTGCCAGATCCGTTCCGCTTAGCAGAAAAGCTCGAAACTTTCAGCTGGAAACCACAAGTTTGGGAGAATTCCTTGCACAAATCTTGAATAGCCCTTTGTGAAGCGTGAAATTCATTCCCAATGTTGTCCCGCCGGTTGTACGCTACACCGTAATCGGCAGCCGCTGCGTCGATTTGTTGAACTGGGACATTGGAGTGAAGAATTCCCATCATTTATGCGCAAACAATTGTCCAGTCACATCCCGGTAATTTGGATTATTGACCAATAAGACAGTACGGGGTTAGGTGAGTCATGTAAGCCAGCCATTCCGACGTATCGGGTCGGAGCAATATAAAAAATATGTGTATCGCAACATATTAGGCAAGTCAACATCGTATCACTTGCATATTTTGCATTTATCCGACAAGAGCAATGGGCTTAGCGGAACTAGAGTGTGGAAACACAAAAAGAGCCAAGGCAACAGCAGTGGCAACTTTTAAGAAGTTTCTAAAAACGGAGAATGTAAGTGATGAGTATGTGCGAACTTGCATTGAACGTGATGAGACTGGAAAGTGTTTCGTATCAGTGATGGATAAGTTTGGTATGTATCTTGCATTTAATGAGGGCAAAAAAGGCAAGCCGTTGGCTAGAAACACTTCGATGCAATACTACCGGCAGGCTAAAGTATGGCTACTCGAACAGTTCCCTCGGCACAGACCCGCACTTGAGGCTCGGTTGCTTAAAATGGGTAAAACACTGGACAACTTTTGTATGAAGCGAGATGGTGGTGGCTTCATCACCAAAGCCCCACCGTGCTCAAAGGGTGATTTAAAAAGAATGCTTATGTATTTGTATGTTAACGCTAGCTGTCCAAGTGACTACCAAGACGCTGCCTTACTATGCCTGCTGTGGTATCTGTTCGGCCGAGCGTCCGACCTTGCGCATCTTCGGAAGCAGAACTTGTCCATCGACGCGGGAAAGGTACTCTTCGTTAGCTTCATCCGTATGAAGACATCCGAAGAGCAGGGCCTGTCGATCTTCCCTGACGTGGACTTTGCCACGTGCCCCCTCTTCGCTGTCGCGCTGGCGCTTCTTACCCAGGTAGTCCCCTCGGCAAACGTTATAGACAACCTGCCCGAGCAGCCAAGTCAATCCGCCATCGAGCTGGCCCCTGACGTGCCGTTGTTGGAGATGCTCGACCATCCGACGACGACGCAAGGCCTGACGGCTCCGACTTCTGGCTTGCACACGATCCCGACCATCTTTGCCCATGTAAACCGCGTACTGGACCGCATCGCCAAACCGGCAGGTGTCGAGGTTGCGCTGACGTCCCACTCGTTTCGTCGCGGCGGCGCTCAGCATGCGAGCGCTTGTGGCTAGCTTACGGCTCGCTGGATCTTCGACCGCGGCGCCTGGAATATGACAACAACAAATAAAGGGTTCAACTACATCTTCAACACCAGCGCAGAGGACCACAAGATCAGCAAGATATTTAGCGGCCACGACGCTGAAGCACCGGTGTTTCTCCAGAAGCTCAAGCCCTTCGACGCGCAGGCGCGTACCAAAGTCGAAGCTGCTCAGCGTATCCTCTTCGCTACCTGCCAAGACATTGGGACAACAAGCCACAACGTCAACCAGTCCGTTCTTGATGTTCTTACCGCGTGTGTGCTTCGCCACTACCCCTTGCTGAAGGAGCTGAGCCCTGAAGCTCCAGCCGTCAAGCGCATCGAAGCATGCGTCCTTCACAGTGGCTGCTCCATCGCAGAACTGCTCGGATGGTCGTCGCACTTGGTATCTGTAGCATCACCCTGCAGCAAATCAAGCAACGACACCAAAGCCCAACCAACCTCGCAAGACGGCAAGCAAACCGAAGACACCAGCGACCAGAAGACAATTCGACACCAGGCCGCTGTAATTAACCATTTAATCGAGCACACTCAACGCCAAGATCAGCGCATGGACGCTCTCGAGGCCAAGCTGAACAACGATCCTATGAAGCCTTCACACAAGCGCCACCACATACACACTGCAGAAGAAGCTGTCAGTGAGCCCAAGAAGACGCAACGCAGATCTTCAGTCACTCACCTTCATGCTACGTGGTTTGCTTGGTACGCGCAAGCCCCAAGGATGTGACAAGCACCCATCTCAAAGCAGCAGAAGTCGGACGCCAAGCTGCTTGTGGCCTTCGTGAAACTCTTCTTGGACGACGGCTTCGAACTTGACACGGCAGCGCATGGCTACCGCGATCAGGTTCTCGACTTGGGCAAACGGGCGGAGGAAGCAGTCCTTGCATTTTTAGCCGAGCGAAAGATCACATCGCGCGGGTCAGCCGCCGTCCTCAAGCACCTCCGCACTCTCCATCGCGCGGGAGTCCTGAACAGCAAGATTGAGCGCCACCAGCGCCTGCTCTAGACCGCAGCAATTAGGGATCCCGCCCCTGGATACACACAGGACGTGCTCGAGGTAGTTAACAATCCAAGCAAACAACGATAAAACAAAACACAGAATGACAGCGGTTGGAGTCGAACCAACATTCTCAGGACAAGACCCTGCGCTCTATCCATTGAGCTACACTGTCGTATTGGGAGGTTGGAGGGGGGGGGGGCTGACGTGGCGCCGTGTGCGCTGCATGCAGCAGTGCAATTTGAGAGGTCTGCGCAGTAGCGTCGAAAAAAGAGCGAGTGAGGCCTCGACCTTATTGTCAGGTACGACGTGTGGCTGTGTATCGCCGACTGATAGAGAGATTCTGGCCTGCCAAACGGCAAAATTTCATTGGAAAATGGCTGGCCAATGAAATGCGTTCAGTAGTGACTGGTTGTCGATGTCCAACAAGTATCCGGACAGTCGATTTATCCGGATGATTGCCAAGTTCAGCTTCATTTTATTATTTGCCTGCTAGAGAGCACATGACTCTCTAGTGTAATTTGCTTGTTTTCAGCTTTTTTTGATTTTCTCAGCTCACAGGCCGTTTTAGGCGATTCTGACCCGCCTATAAACTAGACACAACAGGCTCTCTACAGATTCAGTACATAACGACAAATCTTGCCTATCTTCCTCCAAACATAATGATTACACAAAATTACTTTACTTGCTAAATAAAGTCCGCTGGCCTTTTTCCACTTCATGTACCACAATTGTGGTACCTGTCCGATAGGGTCGCAGGTCGGATTAATTTTAGGTATGGCAGCAGTGAGTTCGGAGGCTTCAAGGGTGAACGGGACACCTCCATAATCTGGGGGTCCTTCAGACGAGTTCGAGCCATGCTTTGCTATAGATTGCAAGTGTTGGTGAGATATTGATTGTAAGAACGCCTAACAGGGGCTTGAGTGTGCGTCGGTTTCGAAACACCCATTTATATTTATATATATATATATGTATGTTTTTGTTAGATTTATGAACGACATGCATGTAGTATTATTATCGATGAGCTATGCACGGTAATATTACTGACAGACTGATACTATTGCTCTTTTAATCCTTTCGTGGTCAAACGCGGCATTTTGCCGCGTTTGACATGATTTTAAAAAGAGGGTGGGAAAAACGACCCTTTAAGCGCGGCATTTTGCCGCGTTCTACAAAATCTACACCTTGTTTTGTTTTTGCCAATCAGATCTTCGGATTACGGCTTCTGATAGATCCTTTCTGTGCCGACTGGCAAAACTGAGTTGTGAATATCGCGAGAGCGCGTATCTTTTTCGGCCAGCCTAGCGTCATATTTGCGGTTCGGCTGGTAGCCGCATGAAGCGCAAGGAAAAAACGTGTAGTAAACAAGGCTAGCAGATCCTAAAACCTATCATAAAAATTTGGTCGTGGCTTAAGCCCCATAGCCACCAATCGTGCTGGTATCAACTACAGTATTCCTAGGTTAGATGCATGCCTTCTCTCTCAGTATTTTTTTGCTATGCGGACCAACTTCACCGACGCACAAGACAAACGTTGTAGCGCTTGCACTCGAGTATGACTCCCAACACAAGCGAGTAGAGTGGAAGGAGGTGGCGCGGGCCATAAGGAGTAAACATTCTGTCCAAGCGCTTGAGAACCGGCTGCATGCTCTGAAGCGCACGTATGGACGTGATCTATCAAGATTTCCACCGTGTTTTTTCTCCACGTCGACGCCAACATTATCTCATAAGCAGCATTTTCGTCTTCTGGAGCCGAGCCAAGCCGAAAGCGCTATCCGCGATATCTTCAGCAGCGTTTCGGCCGCGGACGTTCGTCAACAAGCGGGAAAGACGGTTGAGAACGCAGGTGAGATGCTGCCTGCCGCATCAAGCGTGATTCAAATGATTGGAGCTGTGCATCGAGACGACGTCTTTCTTGACATTGGTGCTGGCCCGGGGAATGTTGCGGCGCAGTTTGCGATTCAGACGATTGCACGCCAATGCTTGGGAATCGAGAAACGACCGGAAGTTTTTCTTTGAGGTGTTCATTGTTTTCAAGAGCATGCACCAAGGATGATATTACTCCACAAAGTGTTTGAGCCAAGGAGACGCTCTTGATACGCCACTTTCGTCGCGTTTACCATTTCAGCGTGCATCAATAGTTTTTCTAAACGATTTCCTGTTTGATGAATTAGCAAAGCTGGCCGTACAAGAGCAACTGTATATGATGCCGAGAGTACGTTTGATCGTTTCTACGTCTCGCTATTGTCCTCGCCATCGCGATTCCTGCCGAAGAAGATTTTGCTCCAAGTGGAGGCTCGCGAAAATCACGTATGGACGGGGTAGCTGGAAGTCTCCTCCAATCCCAATTTACATGTACACGACTGTCCAGCGACTGGAGATTATAGTGCGCTGATGCTGAGACGGTCATTGAGGCAAGTATCACGGGGACAAGGCAGGCAAGTGGCCGAAGACGAGCGAGGACGTGGTCTTCTTCACGATGTCGGTCAAGTTCAACAAGGCACTGTACAACAAGGGCAAGGACATATTCCTGTCGTATCTAGCCTAGCACGAGAAGAAGGTGTCCTATGGCAGCTCAAACGTGAACCCGATTTCTGCGAACGTGGGCAACCTCGAAAGCATACTCTCAATTTCTAGAACAGAGACAGCGACGGCAATAGTTTAATCAAGATATATACACGTTTACGCAAAAAAATTGCCGTGTGACTCTACTCTGTTGGTTCGGTGGGCTCTGCTGAGGTTGTTATCTGCTTTTACTTTGTTGCCCTGGTGACCGGTGCTAATACAGAGTATTTAGAACAGAAACAA